TGTTTTGAGTGGGCCTTTTGAAGCATCGGGCATACAGACTTTGCTTCTGTGACAGCAGAGCCCTAGGTCATTATGGCTAAATTCCTTCAGCAACATTGCCCAGTTACTAAAGGGGGAAGGGATGATATTTTGATGTTTGGTTTGTCTGCGAACCTTCTGTGGTTTGAGATGGCCAAGCAGACACACTGGCAACACAATTCATCTCCATTTCTAAGAAGCTGCTCCTATCAAGATCCCCAAACCTCCCCATTGTTATAGTCAATGGTCAATGTTCAGTCCTCAATTTACTTGACCTATGGATACCATTTGACAAAGTGGTCCCTCTCCCCCCTTTCTGAAACCCTTCTCACTTATCTTCAGTGATTACATTTTCTCTTGTTTTTCCTCCTAATCCATGAGCCTCTCTTCACAGTCTCTTGTGATGATTTTTCCTCTTCTTCCCAACATCTAAATGTTGGAAATCTTAGGACTCGACACTTAGATTATCTCCCATTTCTACCCACACTCACATGCTTGGTGATCTCTAGATTCAAAATTTGAAGCACCATCCTTACTCCCCAAATCTCTGTAGCCTAGACTTTCTACCTCAGATCTCTACCCTCAACTCCAGGATCAGCTATCGAGTCACCCACTAGAAAGCTCCACCTAGAGTTCTAATAGGCAACTCAACATAACCAAAAGTGAATTTTTGATCTTTCTCATTATTCACAAACGTTAACCTTTTTTCTAGTTTCAGAACACTTAATTTAATAATTGGAACTCGATGATAAAGGAGGATGATAAAGGAGACCATGTTTATGTATCACATCCTATATCTGGTGCTCCCTGTGGCCATACTACAGAGTAGATAACACTGGCATTGACGAGGAGCACTTGGCTCAGATGAGGTTTAATCTGGCATAATCCAGACAAGGCTACGTGTAGATTGCTTAACTTTAAGAATATAAGGCCAGTTGCAGGGAAGAAGTTGCTTTTAAGCTTATTGGTTGTCTAATCATTTGGCTTAATGGCTTCAACAGTGTGTGCCCTGGTGTGGCCCGGGTGAACCTGAAATCTTGTACCTTTGTCTGTCATTGGGAAATGCTGTTGCCATGAATCTTGGCTGGGCGACATCTCCCCTTATACTTTAGAGCAGTGATCCCTAACCTCCAGGCTGTGGACCGGTACTGGTCCATGGCCTGTTAGGAATCCGGGCCACACAGCAGGAGGTCAGCAGCAGGCCAGCGAACTACATCTGTATTGGTAGCCACTCTCCAGCGCTAGCATCACCGCCTCAGTTCCACCTCAGATCAGGTCTTAGATTCTCATAGGAGCACCAGTCCTTGGTGCCAAAAAGTTGGGGACCACTGCTTTAGGTAATTAAGCCTAGTTTAAAATATTCAAGTAGGCTTTAGTCATTCCAATCTGATTCTACTAATGACATCTGTGGTTAAATATTTCATACATATGCCCATTAACATCTTTAGATAATGACAAAATAACACTCATTGTTCAACACGTCAAAAAATAATTTAATAATTATCCAAAAAAGTCTATATGGCCTTACATTTATTTACTGAAGGATATTTACTGAAGTGGTATATTTTGATAAATTCATTACCTTTGCATCTAGTTTGTACTTTGTACTATTATGTCCTGTTTCATCTTTAAACATTTGATTTCGGATCTTTTCCAGAGTTGTTCGAATCTAGAAGAAAACGAATAGTTTATTTTTTTCAAAGGGTTTTAACGTCAAATACTTTTTTTCTCTATACTAGTGGCAGTGTACCTGATTTATCTAGAAAGTAGTATATATATATATATACTAATCTCAGATAGCATCAGACTAACTTTCATTTAGACTAACATTATTTAGATTGCAGAAAATGAACATTTGGTTTTTATACCGCTTGCTCAGTCAAACCTAAAATATAAATGAATATTATACTACAAAATAATTACTATTTAGTAATTAGTATTTAATTCTATTCGGTTCTATTTTTTTATATAGTAATTTAGTACTAATTTACTATTTAGTAATTACTATAAAACAATTACTATTTAGTAATCGCTACAAAATAATTACTATCTAGTAATTACTACAAAATAATTACTATCTAGTAATTACTAGAGAATAATGCCTATTTAGTAATTACTACAGAATAATTGCTAAGTGGAGATCATACAAATTTATGCATGAAATAAAAGCTCCATGTCTTGGTGACCCATGGAATTGCAAGACACTCAAAGATGAATTAATAGATCTGAATGTTACAAAGTATTTACGTCCAAATTTTTTCATCTGTTCCAAGAAACTGTTCATACGAATATGTTTTGTCAGTCATTATCATTGGATTCTCACAAGATTTCCCATTTTTAATGAAGAAACATGCCTACACGTAGTCATTGGTGATAGCGACACCGAACTGTGAGAGGGAACAAGGGAAGAAGAGACAGAAATTCA